AAGAGGAAGTCAGGTGTGTTCTTCTCACCCGAAGAAGGAAGGGAGTCCAGATAATTGTAGTAACATAGAAAGACTTGAAGGTTAGTACTTGAAGCAAAGCTGGTCAGAGTAAGATAAATACTGCGCATTCTTAGTTATAGGTGAAATGTTAAGCAAAACAAAACAAAACAAAACAACGACAGTAACAACCAAGAAACCCCCCAATTGAACTAATGTAGGCAGGCAGGCACATCGGGAAGGCCCCCTCCCAAGGCATTGGTAGAAAATTTCCTGGGAAGTAATAGTCTTGAAGTTTCGAGAAAGTGACCTTGCAGAAAACAGGAATTAGGCCTGATAAGACCCCTCCTGGCGACAGTCCCTAACAGGCCCTGAGGAGGCTAGGGACTGCTGAAACCCTACAGAGATGACGAACTTCAGCAGAGATTAGAGACACAATTAAGGACTTGAAAGAGATTCACCGGAAACTTTAAAGCTGTTCCTCTGGTACAATCCCTGATCAACCCCCACCTCATCAGAAAACTTCAGACTAAGGCACTCTAAGAATATGCACATAAAGTCATGAAGGTCATTCATTCAGGGCTTCTTCCTTTAAGGAAAGCCCACACTCCCATTTGGGTCTCTCTCTCTCTCTCTCTCTCTCTCTCTCTCTCTCTCTCTCTCTCTCTCTCTCGTCTCCTCCCTTTCAAAACCCTCCAGATAAAGCCTGTTTTACTTCACCATTTGTCTTCTCCTGAAATTCTTGTGCGCAAGGCGAGCCAAGAACCCAGTAACCCTGGGTCCCTAGTGGCAGAGGCAGATGGGGAGAGAGTGACCGTCTTTCTCCTCCTCGCTTCACATAAGCCACCCACAGGGCCCACTGACATCAGAACCCATAGCTTAGTTGAAGAGGTTGGCGGTTGCTGGAGGAGGCTTGGGCGACAGTGCAGAGCGGGCAGGGGCAAAGGTGGTCAAAAGTCACAAACTTCCCACTCTCCGATTGATCGTCCTGAGCTGTTTTAAGGCGTGGCGTGATATCTTTCATTCTTACTGCATTATGGACTTGAAAGTTGCTAAGATAGTGGACCTTAATGTTTCTCGTCACAAGAAAATAAAAACTGTGAGTAATGCACAGTGATGGGTGTTAACTCAATGTACAGTGGGATCCTTTGACAAACATTTACAAATAGCAGATCATTGTGCTGTACCCGTGTTCCCTGCCAACCACGTTCCTATCGTAAAAAGCGAACCCCTACACCGATGTGTTACAGAGAGAATGGAGGCCCCTGCGGCTGACTTGTGGCAGGTGGTTTTGGAAAGGACAAGTGTCCAATGAGGGGCTGGAGAGCGAGGACAGGGATGAAGGGACTCGCTCCGAATGCGGTTGATTGACCCCAGTCTGATCCCCTGCATCACATATGGTTCCCCAAGCACTTACCTGGAATCACCCCTGAGCACAGAGGCAGGAGTGAGTGGGAACACTATGGGTGTGACCCAACAGCAAGACAAACAAGAGAGAAATGTCCATTGGGAACTTCAACTCAGTGAATCGCTGTGAAGTACCTGACAGAGTGATCAAAGTAGAGAAAGAGTAATGTGGAAATCATCTGCCCCACAGGTAGGGGGAGGATGTGGGATGGGGGTATACTGGGGTTTTTGGTGGTGGAGAATGGGCACTGGTGAAGGGACGGGTGTTTCATTGTATGACCGAGACTTAGATCTGAAAGCTTTGTAACTGCTCTCACGGTGATTCAATAAATAAAATTATATATATAAAAAAAAGGTACGGTGGAGTTCATGCCCAATTCAATGAGCTAATCAGTGGCTGAATAAATAGCAGTACTACATGGAAAGTATCATGTTAAGCGAAATGAGTCAGAAAGAGCGGGATAGACACAGAAAGATTGCATTCATCTGGGGAACATAAAGCAACAAAAAGGGAGAGTAACACCCAGGAATGGCTCAGATTAGCACCAGGAATTTTGCTCCATGAATGGAAGGCCAGGCACAGGCTCTAGGTGAAAAGGAAGCTCAGATAGAGAAGAGAGTACCAAATGAAGGGTGTTGTGAGGGTCTTCCCAGGGTGGGAGAAGCATGCTAAAAGTAGTCGATAGACCAAACATGATTGCCACTCAAAGCCTCTCTTGCAAAACACAGTACCCAAAAGAAGAGAGAGAGAACAAGGGGGAATACCCTGCCACAGAGGCAGGATGGGACGGGGGGGGGGGGGGGGATGAGGGTGGGAGGGGGATGCTGGGACCCATGGGGATGGATGACGGGCACTGGTGGAGGGATGGGCACTTGATCATTGTATAACTGAAACCCAAGCACAAAATTTGTAAGCCTATAACTGTACCTCATGGTTTTTCACTAATAAAAAAAAAAGAAAAAAAAATAAATAGCAGTACTCCTACATAAAAAAAAAAAAAAGTACCTGACAGAAATTCTCTAGTCTCAGTTTTAGGCATCTGATACCTTGTTTACTACTAAAGCACCATGATTTACAAAGTGACCCATAGTAGAGTTTCAGGCAGAATATATCTTACTTATTACCTAGGCACCAGGATTTACAAAGTGACCCACAGTGGAGATTCAGGCATATAATGTCTTATTTATTACCAAAGCACTGTGATTTACAAAGTGATTTCTCTTGTCTCGGTAATCTACAGGAAATTCTGCATTGTCCTCAAATATAACCCAGCATAGATTTATTTTAAAGGCTTTTGAGGGGCATTTTTACAATGCCCACAATGTCATTTTTGGTTCTCAAAGGGTGGTATAGACTAATATCTGGATTCACCAGAAAAAAACATTTAAAATAATAACAGGTTTTATTGACAAATCTCTTTTTTTTTCTGTTGTTGGTGAATCAGCTTAGTTTTTTTTTTGTCATTTTTCCATACCTCTCTTTTTATTTATTTTTTAATTAATTTTTAAAAAAAAATTTATCAGTGAAACACCATGAGGTACAGTTGTAGACTTACAAATTTTTGTGCTTCGGTTTCAGTTATACAATGATTGAGTACCCATCCTTCCACCAGTGCCAGCTTAGTTTTTAATGGATAAAACTTGCTTAGAAAGATGTGAAAGGGAAAGAAGGGAAATTTATTTAGAAGAGAACACAGGCTTCTTTCGAATGGAAATAAGCAAAGAGGCATGCAAATAAGATGTGTGTTCAAGGGGGATATGGCCTGAAGCACAAGGCGACTTGATAAATTTCCTGCAGGTTTTTATTAAGGGCATTTCCAAACTCATTCAAAGGGTGGGGGGAAGGAAACTCAAATAAAGCCTTTTATAAACACCTCACTCAACTTTGATATGTGGCTGGAGCGATAGCACAGCGGTAGGGCGTTCGCCTTACAAGCGACCAACATGGCCAACCCGAGTTCGATTCCTCCGCCCCTCTCGGAGAGCCCGGCAAGCTACCGAGAGTGTCTCGCCCGCACGGCAGAGCCTGGCAAGCTCCCCGTGACGTATTCAATATGCCAGACACAGTAACAACAAAGTCTCCAATGGAGACGTTACTGGGCCCGCTCGAGCAAATCAACGATCAACGGGAGGGCCTTTACCTTACCTTTACCTTACCTTACCTCGGGTGCATTTAATTTTAATTTTTTTTTTTTTTGCTTTTGTTGCCATACCTGGCAATGTTTAGGCATTCTTCTGGCTCTGCATGCAGAAACCACTCCTGGCAGTGCCTAGAGGACTATATGGGATGCCAGGGATCGAACTCAGGTCTGTTGCAGGAAAGGCAAACACCCTACCCACTATACTAGCTCTCTGGCTCTCTGGGAAGCATATTGCATTTTCCATGAAGCAGCACTGGAAGCTACAACCATTGTTAGGTATTTGATTAGCTTTAAACTGATAGATATTTTGAGATACAGCACAGCTTCAGTATGATGCCAGCCCCTTCCCCAGGAGACTGTTGCAACCCCTGCTTCTCCATGGAGGCAGTGATCAAAAATGCAGATATGTGGTGAGGGGTGGGGATGCGACTGAACTCTGGAGTGAGTGACCCAAGGGAAATACATCACTGAGGAGGACATAGTGGACCACGTTAAAAAGACACCCTTTGTGTTGGCACATTGTATGACTGACACGCAATCATGATCAATTTTGTAATGCTCTATCTCACAGTGATTCAATTAAAAATAATAATAAAATTAAAAAAAAGGTGTTTGATAAGAAGTACCATCCCACCAGGCACTGCATCGTTGGGAGGAACTTTGTTAGTTACGTGACACGAGAAACCAAACACTACTTTTACTTCTACCTGGGTCAGATGGCCCTTCTGCATTTTAAGTCCGATTTTGGCAAGAACTGTGCCACACCCAGTGATCCATTCAAAACAAGGACTGCAGCCTAAATCCGGACTAACCAGAGCCTGAAACCTTCAGCCCCACTGAAGGAAACACCTCAATCTCTGAACCTTTAGCGTGTGTCTTGTACAGGACATATTCTCTGTACTGGTTTGTTGTGGTTCTAAAACCGTTAGCAACTCAGTCTACATTTGTATTTATTTTCTCCAAGCCTCTCTACCCATGTTTTTTCTCCTTAAAATTTATTCATTGGGGCTGGAGCAATAGCACAGCGGGTAGGGCGTTTGCCTTGCACGCGGCCGACCCAAGTTCGATTCCCAGCATCCCATATGGTCTCCTGAGCACCGCCAGGAGTAATTCCTGAGTGCAGAGCCACGAGTAATCCCTGTGCATTGCCGGGTGTGACCCAAAAAGCAAAAAAAAAAAAATTCATTTCTTTCAGAAAATAAATCTGTTGGGGGCTGGAGCAATAACACAGCGGGTAGGGTGTTTGCCTTGCACGCAGCCTACCTAGGTTCGATTCCCAGAATCCCATATGGTCCCCCAAGCACCACCAGGAGTAATTCCTGAGTGCATAAACCAGGAGTAACTCCTGTGCATCTCCGGGTGTGACCCAAAAAGCAAAAAATAAATAAATAAATAAATAAATCTGTTAGAGAAGTGAAAAAAAAATAAACGATAGACATTCGAAAATAGATTTTTATTACAAACACTGTGATTTACAAAGTCATTCATTGTAGGGCTGCGTCAAACATTTCATGTTCCAATACCACCAGCGTGAGTGGTAGAGGCAGACATTTTGGAAAATACAGCAAGAAATATATTTGTCCCTCCAAATTCTTGAAATCAAAAGTGCTCCGAAGCCATTAGAAACCATTTGATTCGTTGAATTTTTTCCTAAGATGTGAGGGAAAATAGCACGAACAGCTGTGGAGCCTTACTTCAGCCTTCGTTCCCCATTCTGCGTTTCATCTGGAGAAATCGGGGGGAAGGGAAAGAAAATAAGCACAGATGAATACACACATGAGGATTATTTACTTTCATGCTATGCTCTAGTGCCTTGTTCCAAATGCCAAAGCTTGGCACTGGAGATGTTACTCAGTGTTGGAGCACTTGCAAGTGTGAGTAGGTAATTGGGGGAAGAAGTCAAAGCTTCCGTTCTACTCCTGTTCTATTACCAATCACAATCACAACCATCCTGTTGTTCGTCGATGGCCTCGAGCAGGCCCCAGTAATGTCTCCTTCGTCCTAGCCCTGAGATTTTTAAAAAGTGCCATATTCAAGGCTCTGTCAGAGTTAGGAGAATGAGACCCTTCATTGTTACTGGTATTTGGCATATTGAGTATACCACGGGGAGTTTGCCAGACTCTGCCATGTGGGCAGGTTACATTCGGTAGCCTGCCATTTTGTCCAAAGTAGAAATGAGATAATAAAATGTCATAATAAGATGTTGCGGCCGCATGCTTCCAGGAGCTGGGTTTTGTAGTCTCTGAGTCTTGGCCGTTGATGGGATTACACGGCACCAGGGGGCCAGTTGGCGGGTGTGACCCTGCCTACTTGAATTTGGAGGATCTATTCTATTACCAAACTGCTGCAAATTTTGCTACATCCAATAACTGTCTTCTGTCTAGGGCAATTTTGAGGACAGTCATAGCCGCCATGAGTTAACATTCAAAAAGTCTTTATATTTCTCATATTTTCTTCATCGAAAGAGGCGTTCAGTTATTCAGCACAGCGGGTAGGGCGTCTACCTTGCACGCAGCCAACATGGCCGACCCGAGTTCGATTCCTCCGCCCCTCTCGGAGAGCCCGGCAAGCTACCGAGAGTATTCGATATGCCAGACACAGTAACAACAAAGTCTCCAATGGAGACGTTACTGGGCCCGCTCGAGCAAATCGATGATCAACGGGAGGGCCTTTACCTTTACCAATATTTACTAAATGCCTGCTGAAAGGTGGGCATTTTGCTAGGGCTGGAGGTGAGCCAATAGAATGCTCTGTTATTGGCAGACTTACATCCACCACCAAACGTCAATGTCAAACGTCTGGAGGAAGGAAAGAACCTTGAAAAGGAAACCCAAGCACAAAAATTTGGAAGTCTACAACTGTACCTCATGGTGTTTCACTAATAAAAAAAAAATCATGTGACGACTGGAATGGGAGTGAAGATAGACAGCTGGCAACTAAAAAAAAAAAAGGCAAAGATATACAATGATCAAATACCCATCCCTCCACCAGTGCCCATAACCCAAGCACAAAAATTTGTAAGTCTACAACTGTACCTCATGATGTCTCACTAATAAAAATTTAAAAAAATAAGAATAAAAATAAAATGCAGTTTTGGTCTCAAAAAAAAAAAAGGCAAAGAATCTGAGACAATTTTCGTTTTCAGTTTCTAGATTAGCATTTCGCTGCCAAAGATCATATCCCCCCAACCCTTCTCAGGGTACCCCCAGGGTACTTTAAGGCTATGCTGGGGGGGGGGTCAAGTCAATAAGTAGGACGGGGGTCAAGAAGGAGGCAGAAAAGTGTCATGGTGGGGGAGAGGTTGAGAAACACTAGTGTACAGGACCAGACCAGTAAACCATCACACTATGAATTCCCTTGGGGAATTACTCTGGCATTAAATTCTGGTTCAAAATGGTAAATTAGGGGCTGGAGAGATAGCACATCGGGTAGGGCATTTGCCTTGCACCCGGGTTCGATTCCCAGCATCCCATATGGTCCCCTGAGCACCGCCAGGAGTAACTCCTGAGTGCAGAGCCAGGAGTAGCCCCTGTGCATTGCTGGGTGTGACCCAAAAAGGCAAAAAATTAAAAAATTAAAAAAAAATAAATGGTAAAGTAGAACTTGAGAGAAAGGTCATTGCTCAAAAGAGACAGTTCTCAGGGAGCAGACTGTAAGGAGGAAATGTGATGTCCCCCTTGACCCTCACTGGGAGTGAGTGATGCCCTTGGGTGGTCTGGATGTATTCACAGCCCTCAGAAAGCCAACAGAGACCCCCCTACAGGGGTACGAAGATGCTGCCGAGGGAAGCCTGGTTTATGAAGAGGAGGACATTTCTGTGCCACGTCTAGGGACAAAGCTGAGAGATAACTGAGCCAACATCCATCTTGCAGTTGAGTGCTCTTCCTGATTAGTCACAGAGGTCCCAAAGTCCTCTCAGGAAGTGGAAATTTTACACAAAATAGGCATTTCCAAGTCAAAACCAAACAGTGGCGACAAGTTTCACAGGAAGATCTAAAAGACAGGACTGGGTGGGCCACTGTCCTTGTGCTTGGGGGAAAGCAGAAAGGACTGAAGTGCTGGAGATGGTGACCTGGGCAGCATGGGACATTGGGGGAATGTGTAGTAGCCCAACTTTGACAAGATGCCTGAGACGGCTTCAGTGAGGGCTTTGGAACTGTCACCATTTGAGGACGTTGAAATAGCTTCCCACCACTTTAGAGGACTGTGGCATTGAAAAGAACAGAAAACCAGGCATGTCACATCATTATACCCACTAAAGTATCTTATTGGTAACTGCTGGCAGCAGTGAATCCAAGATCTACGCTTACCAAAAAAAGTGTTAGGGCTGGAGTGATAGAACAGCGGGTAGGGCGTTTGCCTTGCTCGCGGCCAACCCGGGTTCGATTCCCAGCATCCCATAGGGTCCCCTGAGCACCGCCAGGAGTTATTTCTGAGTGCAGAGCAGCCAGGAGTAACCCCTGAGCATCACTGGGTGTGACCCAAAAAGCCCCCCCCCCCCAAAAAAAACAAAGAGTATTTTGTCACTTACATGTCTCAACTACCTTAAACTAGGGTTAGTATGTTGCATGTTGAATGTTTATTTGGTATAGTATATAGCTACTCTGCATGTCACAGACATCTTAATAAACCACAAAATTCGTTCCTGTCCAACTCAGGCACTGGGAAACTGATTGAATACCCACTAATTGGCATAGACTCGTAATGAAATACTATCTGCCCTTTCATGGTTTGGCATATCTCATACATTTGCACCAAGGAAATGAGAGAGAGATGCTGGAGAACTTGTCTTCATACTCACACACTGATGAATTCCCACCAACTTACCAAGAACCTTCTAAAAAGCATTCATTTGCTTTCTTCTATTAATATCTCGCTTGAGTTGACAAAGTGCGCAGCAAGGGAAACATCCCATTATCAAGAAGTCATTGCAAATAGATCCCTGTTTGAAAAAAAAAAAAAAAGCAAGCAAATGAATTAACACGTAGCCTATAGATCCAGACCTCTTCGGTGACTTCTGTTCTTCCCACTTTCCTAATAATCTGGCGAAGTGAAACGACCTGCTAAAATCAAGTTACAAATTGGGAGCAAAACTTGGGCTTTCTGATTTCCCCGGGGGGTGGGGGGGGGCACGCCGGGTGGGCTCAGGAATCACTCCTAGCCGTCTGCCCACTGTGCTACCTGTCCAGCCCCAAACTTGACCTTTGTTAATAAATGCCTTAGCATTTAGGTCCATTTCAGGCCCACCTCGAAATGTTCCCTTTCAAGCTCCCGGGGAAGGGCGGGGGGAGTGGGGAGTGTGCCCGTGGGGGATGGGGTGCACTTCTAAGACTTGAGAGCAGGGCCAGCCCAGCCCCCACCATGGGTCTTTCTCCGCATCTTGACCTCTCACAGTTCCTCTGCAAAGGAAGAGGTCCAGAATGAAAGTGGAATAAAAAAAAAAATTATGGAGAATAGCAGAAAGCAGACAATGACTAGTGTTTGGAAGAATTGTGGAATGCAGGACGTGGCTAGGTTTCTGGGCCCTGTCCCTGGAGACAGCAGTATCTCCTGACCAGCACATGGAGGTGCCTGGCAGGGCCAGTTCTTCTTCCCGGGGACCCTGGGGGACAGCAAGGCTTTGTGACCAAGTGTCTCAACAGGAATAATTTTGTACTCCAATTTTGAAGGGCACTTATTTTGTGTGTGTGTTAGTTTTGGTTTGGGGTCCATGCCCAGTGGTGCTCAGAACTTACTACTGGCTCTGTGCTCAGGGATCACTCCTGGCAGTGCTCAGGGGACCGTAAGGAGTGCTGGGGGTTGTATTTGGGTCTGTTACATGTGAGGCAAGCATCCTGCTTACTGTACCATTTCTTCATCCCAAGCACTTTATTATTTTTTATTTATTTATTTTTTTGCTTTTTGGGTCACACCAGGTGATGCACAGGTGTTATTCCCGGATCTGCACTCAGGAATCAACCCTGGCGGTGCTCAGGGGACCATATGGGATGCTGGGAATCGAACCTGGGTGGCTGCGTGTAAGGCAAATGCCCTATCCGCTGTGCTATTGCTCCAGCCCCAATCCCAAGCACTTTAAAAAGAAATTATGGAGTTTAATACAATTCCCAATGTATTGCTGAGCACAACAGTGGAAAAGAGAGGGAGAAAAGTCAGTAAATAAAAGTTAGGGTTTCTTAAATGGTGAAATTATGGGTAAGTTCTTTTTTCCTTTTCCACCCTTTTTTTCTTTCTTTCCTTTCCTTTTCTTTTTTTGAGTGAGTTATTTTCATGGGTTTTTCATTGCTACAATGATTTTAATTCTCATCTAACAGAACAAGTGTATGGGATATAGCACTATATAGCACTGTCCTCCCGTTGTTCATTGATCTGCTCGAGTGGGCACCAGTAACGTCTCCATTGTGAGACTTGTTGTTACTGTTTTTTCCATATCTAATACTCCATGGGGAGCTTGCCAGGCTCTGCTGTGCAGGTGAGATACTCCCGGTAGCTTGCCGGGCTCTCCGAGAGGGACAGAGGAATCGAACCCGGGTCAGCCACGTGCAAGACAAACGCCCTACCTGCTGTGCTATCACTCCAGCAGACAATTAAATAGTGAAGGTTCTTATTTTTTAAATTTTTAAATTTTTTAAATGTTTTTGCTCTTTGGGTCACACCCAGCAATACACAGGGGTCACTCCTGGCTCTGCACTCAGGAACTACCCCTGGCAGTGCTCAGAGGACCATATGGGATGCTGGGAATTGAACCTGGGTCAGCCGCGTGCAAGGCAAACGTCCTACCCGCTGTGCTATCACTCCAGCCCCAATAGTGAAGGTTTTTTAAAAGTATAGATGTATATACTGGTTTGGGGGCCACACCTAATGGTGCTCCCCAGGGCTGACTCCTGGCTGTGCATGCAGGGATGTAGGGATGAAACCTGGCTTGGATGTAAGCACAGCAAATGCTCTACCTACTGTACTATAGCTCTGCTCTCAAGTGGGAGTCAAACATCTTCTGATGTGAGGTCAGGGAGACTGGAATAATAGCTGGAGCATTCTGAATGTGGTGACCCTCTGACTCTGGCACGGCATGGCTGGTGTGGACCAAATGACCCCAGCACAATTGGGCCCTAGCAGTATGGCCCCTCAGACCCTGGCACTGAGCCACCTGGCCAGGCTGAGTATCACCAGGAGTGGTCCCTGATCCCCGAACACAGAATTGGAGACACAAACACCCAGTTTCTTTTTCTTTTTTTCCTTTTCCAATGCCAGGGATCAAACTAGAACCTTCCCCATATCAGACTAGTGTGCTGAAGAGCTACTTCCTCACTAACCCAAGCAAACAAACAAACAAAAAAATCTAATATGAACTTCACCTGAGAAAGGAATGGATATGCTGCCTGAAGAGAATCCAGTCTTTCAGCCTTCATTTCCCCCACCTACCTCATAAATAATTTGAATTCTTTAGCCCTTTCTTTCAGCACCAGTTTATTCTTAATCTTTACTTCCGTATTTACTTTTCCTTCTTTTTATCTTTTCAACCTTCCTTAAGTCAACACCTAGTGAATACACATCAGAAGGCCACGCAGGAGAAAATAGTCTTATTGAATAAGATCTAATTCCTGTTCTCTTTCAAGCATGCCCATACCTGTCTTTTACCTTCGGAAGTGTTTAGGGAAAAGACACCAATATCGTGTGCTTGCCCCCCCCGCCCCCTGCCTGGCTGTCCTCGCTGGGGCCCCTTGGAGGGAGCGAGTTGAGTTTCCCTCCCTGCCCTGACCAGGGCTCCGGCAGCCGAAGACCTCCAGAACCAGCCATCACCATGCTGAGATCACTCTCCACAAGTATGAAGGTACTGGCAGAGGAACAAAGGCATGCGGGTCCCGGGGCTGAGATCTTCAAGCCTGCTCGGATTGGGGCTGGGCTGAGCATCCTCCACCCAGATCCTCCACCTTCCAGTAGGCAGGGGTCACACCCAAAAACTGGCTCCCTGGCGCCATGTAATCCCATCAATGGCCAAGATCCAGAGACTATAAAACCCAGCTCCCGGAAGTGTGTGGCCACAAATGCAGCCGTGCTATATCTTATCTCATTCTTACTTTGGACAAACCCGGCAGGTTACCGAATGTAACCTGCCCACACAGCAGAGTCTGGCAAACTCCCCGTGGCGTACGCAATATGCCAAATACCAGTAACAATGATGGGTCTCATCTCCTAACCCTGAAAGAGCCTTGAATATGGCACTTTTTAAAAAATCTCAGGGCTAGGACGAAGGAGACGTTACTGGGGCCTGCTCGAGGCAATCGACGAACAACAGGATGGTCGTGATCGTCGTGATCCTGTGCTAAGAAAATGATGGAGACCTAGAGTTTAGTGTCAGACATATCCTGGTTCCAACCTGTTTTATATGTGAATAGAGAGTTTAAAGAAGATCAAACATTCCCTTAGCAGGGAGAGGAATTAATCTAATCCTCACTGAAGTTAATAATGATAAGGAATGCCTTCATGAGAGCAATTCCTCAGGAAATAATAAAAATTCTGCACTCACCATTTTGTTTGAATTTTTTTGTTTGTTTGCTTTGTTTTCAGGTCACACCCAGTGACACTCAGGGCTTATTCTGGCTCTGCATTCAGGAGTCACTATCAGCACTACTTTTTTTTTTTTAACTTACAAATTTTTGTGCTTGGGTTTCAATTATACAATGATCAAATACCCATCCCTCCACCAGTGCCCATTTCCCACCACCACGGATCCCAGTATCCCTCCCACCCCCAACCCCCCCCCCCCCCATCCCACCCTGCCTCTGTGGCATGGCATTCCCTTTTGTTCTCTCTCTCTTATTGGGTGTTGTGGTTGGAAAAAGAGGCAATGGGTGACAATCATGTTTGGTCTATAGTCTACTTTCAGCATGCTTCTCCCATCCTGGGAGGATCCTCCCAACACCCTTTATTTGGTGCTCCCTTCTCTATCTGAGCTCCCTTTTCCCTTAGCATGTGTGGTTGGCCTCCAAGGCATGAAGTAAAATTCCTGGTACTAATCTCAGCCATTTTTGGGTGTTAGTCTCCTATTTTGTTACTTTATGTTCCCCAGATGAATGCAATCTTTCTATGTCTATCCCCCTCTTTCTGACTCATTTTGCTTAACATGGAAAGTAGTACATGTATAGTACTTTATCTTTTCTAACAGCTACATAGTACTCCATTGTGTAAATGTACCAAAGTTTCTTTAACCAGTCATCTGTTCTCGATCACTCAGGTTTTTTTCCAGATTCTGGCTATTGTAAAGAGTTCAGCACTACTTTTGACTGTGCTCAGGGAACCATGTGGGATGCCAAGGATCGAACCTGGGTTGGCTGCTTGCAAGGAAAGCATACTGTCCTCTAAACAATCTCTCCAGCCCCTCTGTTTGGGTCTTTATGTTTATTGGTGTCAAGACTGAATCCTGAGTCTCATTCTTTCCAGGCCTGTGCTTTCCCACAGAGTGTCATCATCCTCAGCATCACCTTCTTGGGTGATTGGAAGCAGATACTGTGCTGGGAGCCCAGGCATGGCTGGGATGAAGCCTGGATTTGCTCCCTGGCTCAGCATCACTGGGTGCATCCTCGACAATAAATAAATAGATAAATAAAATAATAGCTAAACCCCCAAACATTTTTTTTTATATTATTTGGGTTTTGTTGTTTGTTTGTTTTGGGGTCATACCCATCAGTGCCCAGGGATTACTCCTGGCTCTGTGCTCATAGATCATTTTTGGTGGGGCTTGAGAGACCATTTGGGGTGCCAGGGATGGAACCTGGGTCAGCCAAGTACAAGAAAAGTGCCTTGCTCACTGTACTATGCCTCTGATCCTCCAAAGCATTAATTTAAAAAAATAGTCTTATGTACACTATTATGGAATCATTGACTGAGACCATTAATGCATGGATTATGGCACACACACGTTTGACTACACAGACAAACAAGATGAGAAAACAGGAAAAGCCAAAGCTTTGGAGTTAGAACAAATCCAAGTCCAGATTCCAGAATCAGCAAGTTCTGGGGCTGCAAGCTGTTATCATCTCTAGTGTGTTTCTATAAAGTGGTGCTAAGAATTTTTGCACCACGAAGCATAGGCATGTATAAATGAGCACATACATATTAAAATAACATTCAAGCCCAGAGTCTCTACTCATTCTGTGATTGTTCCCTTTCTCCTTCCCTCCTGTGGGAACTGTGTGAAGACTGATGGGTTGAATGTGTCCCGAAGACCAGGCAGGGCAGAGAGGACACCTTGTGGCCGTCTCATCCAAGTTTGCATAGATGCAAAAGGGAAGCAAAACAGAACCTGAATTATACAAATCAATCTTAGGAAGTGCCAGCGATTATCTGCTCAGTGAGGAAGGTTAGAGATAACACTCCAACAAACAAACTGATTTGATGCGTGCCAGGAAATGGCCTCATCTTAGGCCCGGCCGTGACCCTAGAAATCCTCTTGCATTACTTCCTCATGACAGATGAGAGGTTGCCAAAAAAATTACCAGAGTCCAGAAATTACCTCTTTGGCAAGCTGCCCCCAGAAACTTTCTCTCTAGCACCCAGTGAGCGACCTGGCCCTTCCTCTGTCCTATTTTGGGGTCCTAAGAGTATTTGAGACTATCACCCACATGCCTAATTCTGAGTACATGGCATCTTGCAAAGTATTTAAACTAAAGAAGCTCCAGGTGCTACATAAGGTAACAAAATAGGAGACTAACACCCAAGAATAGCCGAGATAAGTACCAGGAGGTTCACTCCACGGCTTGGAGGCCAGCCTCACACGCTAGGGGAAAAGGCAGCTCAGATAAAGAAGGGAGCACCAAATAAAGGGTGTTGGGAGGATCCTCCCTGGATGGGAGAAGTATGTTGAAAGTAGACTATAGACCAAACATGATTGCCACTCAATGCCTCTCTTGCAAACCACAGCACCCAAAAGGAGAAAGATAACAAAAGGGAATGCCCTGCCACAGAGGCGGGGTGGGGTGGGGGGATGGGGTGTGGGGGTGGGAGGAATACTGGGATTAGTGGTGGTGGAGAATGGGCACTGGTGGAGGGATGGGCACTCGATCATTGTATAACTGAAACCCAAGCACAAAAATTTGTAAGTCTACAACTGTACCTCATGGTGTTTCACTAATAAAAATTAAAAAAAAAAAAAAGAAGCTCCAAGTGCTACCCTGCCCGTGGCTTAGCATGGATGAGAGTGGCAGGGAATTCTGGGGCAAGTTGGCAGCTGAGCAAACATACAGCAGAAAAGGAGCCCTGGCCCCCAGCACACGCCCACCGGAGAAAACAGCCCAGTCAAGATCTGAGATAAGATCAAAAGTAACTCGTTATTTATCTAGCGCTTAGTGCTAGCTGGGCCCCTTTGTGTACATTATCTCCATTGATGGATGATTACTATTTTATGGGGTGTGTGTGTGTGTGTGTGTGTGTGTGTGTGTGTGTGTGTGTGTGTGGTGCGGGGGGGGGGGGGGAACAAAGAGGGGAGAGAAGTACCATGAGGACCCTTTTCTCAGTGAGGGAACATGGTCCCTTGTTCTTGGTCCCTGGTAAAGTGAATGAGGCAGAGCTGAATCTTTAGAAAGAAGACCGGCTCACGTCCCTTCTTTCTTGAAAGCACTTCAGCGGCTTTCATGCTCACCCACTGTACAAGTTCATTCTTGTAATTCTAGAAGGTTTCGCTTCTGTTGCCCTTCTTCCCTCTGCCTTGCACTCTTTTCTTGCCTCTCTGGCCACTTCCTTATTCTAGAACACCTCAAATTACTTGTTCTTCGAAGCTCCAATAGAGCCTGTGGGAGCTGGACCTTACCCAGGGGTCATCCATGCATTCACTGAGGTCTACTTTCTTACGCAGGTCTGAAGTTCTTTTGTTTTCCCCCTTGCTTTATTTCTCTCTGTAGTTACTTATTACTGGCCCAGATATATTGTGCTTTAAACAAGTTATTTTGAAGCTACCATCTCCCAGTAGAGTGTTCCTTACTTCCACCATGGGCAGCCTAAGAATCAATTCAGGCAAGAATCTCAAGAGGATGTTAGTAGGGAAAATCTGACAGGAAACAGACTATTCGTATATGCCTACCAAGTTCTTATTTATTAGAAAGGAAAGAAAGCAACTAATTTTTTTTTTTGCTTTTTGGGTCACACTCAGCATTGCACAGGGGCTACTCCTGGCTCTGCACTCAGGAGTTATTCCTGGTTCTGCTCAGGGGACCATATGGGATGCTGGGAATCGAACCCAGGTCGGCCGCATGCCAGGCAAACGCCCTACCAGTTGTGCTATTGCTCCAGCTCCAAGAAAGCAACTTTACAGCAGAGATTTGGGAGAGATATTATGTTTGTTTATTAGACCATACCCTGTTGAGCCTAGGGCTTACTCTTGGCTCTGTGCTCAGGGATCACTCCTGCAGGCTCAGGGAGGGGACCATATTGGGTGCTGGGGATTGAACTCCGGCTGGCTGCATCCAAGGCAGGCTGTACTACCTCTCCAGCTCATGAAGGAGAAACTACCTTAACCATATAATCAAAGTGAACATCACCCATGATCAAGAAATTCCACTCTTGGGTGGAGTTCCTTACTATAACCTAAGCCTAATCAGTAGGAAATATTTGATAAACCAAACTGATGAGTGTACAAAATAGCCAACTAGTATGCATAGAAAAAAATTTTTCCACATTGCAGAAGGCAAATGAGGCATGAAAGCAGAACACAATTTGTGATCCCAAATTGATAAGACTTCCTTCTCTTTCTCTCTCTCTCTCCTTCTCTCTGTCTGTCTGCCTCTCTCTCTCTCTCCCCCCACCCCCCGCTTTGGCTTTCATAGTGCTCAGAGGACCCTATGTTGTGCTCGGAATAGAACTACCCTCGGCCATGTGCAAGACAAGCTCCTTATTTCAGTATCATCTCTCTAGCCCTAGGCGGAATTCTTTTCATGTAAGGAATGTCATTAGGATAACTGGTGAAGCTAAAAAAGACGCATAGATGGGGCCAGCAAGTACAGTAGCAAGTTCGCCTCCCATCAGCGGACCAGGTTGAATTCCCAGCACCTCAAGCACCTCTGAACACAGAGCCAGCAGTTAGCCCTGAGGATTACCAGATGTGGCTCCTCAAACAAAAACCGATAGATTACTAGTATGGCATCAATATTAAATCCCCAATTTTGATCTTTGTAATGTGGTTTAGGTCAGAGAATGACCTTGTTTTAAAGAGAAACACACAAAAATTCACAGGTCCTGTGGCCGGAATGATAACACAGCGGGTAGGGCGTTTGCCTTGCACGCGGCTGACCTGGGTTCGATCCCCAGCGTCCCATATGGTCCCCCCAGCACCACCAGGAGTGGTTCCTGAGTGCAGAGCCAGGAGTGACCCCTGAGCAACGTGGGGCAATAAAAAAATTTCACAGGTCTTCAGTTAATGAAAACAAGGGGGGGAAAAGATACACACTGGACTTTAAGTTCTAGGACATCCTGTCTGTTACCTTACCTTCAAATGAGTGAAAACAATAGACTAGGAGATTGAGGGATAGAGGTAGAAAGACAGATGGAAGAGAAAATAGAACACGTGGGAAAATTTTAGTACTGGAAGTGTATTCAGGAAGTCTTCAAACCATTTCACCAATCTGAAATTAGGCTAAACCACATTCCTAGGAAAAGGCTGCAAGCTCCTTAAAGGCGGGCCTCAGGCTTGGCCTGTCGCAGGGTGTCTGGGCATTGTTCTCCGGGCTGAGTGAAGCAGCTGGACCAACACCAGGATGCCAGCTTGCCCCGGGATCCCCACTGCGTGCCTGGGGGCTGCTTCTGGGACACCAACTAAGACTTCAGTTCGCAGGGGTCCACGCTAGACCCAGGCTCACTAAGAGCCTCCCCGCCGTGCAGATGTGCAGAGCCTTCCTGCTTGGCTGTGAGCAGAGGGCCCGGACTAGGCTGCGGGTTGGCAAAGGCGGACCAGGCTGAAAACACGGAATAAGGTCCGGGTGGAATGCCCTCCCTGCACGTGGGAGGCTGCCCCCCCCCCTCCCGCCCCTCCCAGGGCCGACTGGGTCTCTCTGTGTAAGCTGGGGTGGGGGGTGGGGGGGATGCCATGCATGCCCTCCTCACTCCGGCCCCCTCAGAGAGACGCATCAATGGGCTCAGCCAAAGGCTTTATCACCCAGCTGTCCAAGGGGACACCTGCCCGGGGCTGCGCTCAGGGTGGGTGCGGGACCGGCTCGCGTCCAGCAGGAGGGGACGCAGGTGGCTGTACCACCGCGCTGTCCAAGGGGACAGCGTCACCAGGCTCCTGCCCGGGGCTGCGCTCAAGGCCAGGCGCTGGACCGGCTCGCGTGCGGCGGGCGGGGACGCAGGTGGCCGGGCGCGGCGGGGACTCACCGGGATGCCGTAGCGGGTGCGGTACAGGGTCCTCATGGCCACGCTGGCCCCGCACAGGCAGCACTCGTCCATGTCGGAGGCGATCTGGCAGGATAGGCACAGCGTGCAGAAGGTCCCGCACAGGCCTGGAGAGGGGAAGCGCGCGCCGTCAGGGGCTTCCCCGCCGCCTGCCCAGCTCTGTCCTCAATGGTGTCTCCAAACCCCCCCGCCCCCCCAAATCTGCAGGCCTCTGAGATGGAAGTCCCCAGACCCCCAAGGACGGGAACTGGAAACAGGAACCGGGGGTTCCGCAGGCCCAGAGAACGGCGAGCAGAAAGCGCGCAGGGAAATGGGCCCAGGGCGCACAGGACAGTGCGCAGGGCAATGCCCGGGTTCCCACCCACCGGGAGGGAGCCCCGAGGACCCACAGGGGGTGCCACCCCAAAGCCAAATTTGGAAAAAAAAAGCGCAAAGCAGATTGGAGGGAGATTGAAAGGGGAGATTGACAGAGGTGACGGATTGGGACCCACTAGGCCCCAACTCCGGGCGGGTAAAAAACTAGACAGCCCTGGCTGCGGGTTGGCAAAGGGGGACCAGGCTGAAAACACGGAATAAAGTCCGGGTGGAATGCCCGCCCTGCACGTGGGAGGCTGCTGCCCCTCCCAGGGCCGACTGGGGTGTCTCTGTGTAAACGGGGGGGGGGGGGGGGGGTTGGGGACGGTGGGGCGGGGTGGATGCTACAGCGCAGAGCACGGCCCGGACACCCCAAAACAGTGACAGAAGTCACTGCACGGTGCAGCAGGCGCCTAACAGTCTGAGCGCAGGCTAGCGTGCAGAAGGCCCAGGTTTGAGCCCTGCCACTGCATGGTCCCAAGGTCCCCTGAGCACTGGCCACGGGCACTCCTGAACACAGAGTTGGGAGTAGCTCCTGACCCAAAAACAACTAGAAGGAGAAAGAAAACAAACAGATAAACAAACAAAAATTAGCTCAGAGGGGCTGGAGGGATAGCACAGTGGGTAGGGCGTTTGCCTTGCACGGGGCTGACCTGGGTTCGATTCCCAGCATCCCATATGGTCCCCTGAGCACCGCCAGGAGTAATTCCTGAGTGCAAAGCCAAGAGTAATGAGCATCACAGAGTGTGACCCCAAAAAGAAAAAAAAAAGGCTCAGAGCAATATACAGTGGATAGGGCACTTGTCTTGCTCACAACAGGCTCTGATTCAATCTTATGCATCTCACATAGTCCATTGAGTCTTGCCAGGAATAATCCCTGAGTGCAGAGCCAGGAGAAAGCCCTGAGCACAGAGGAGTGTGGTCCCCAAACACAAAAAAAAACTAAAAAAAAAAAAAAACTTAAAAAAAAAGCAAATAGAAAAAATAATAGCAACAGAAAGGAAAAAAAATTAAAACACCATTAAAATATTTGTAAAAGCACAAGATTAGGCTAGTGGATGGAGACCATTATAGTTACCTGTGTCTTATAATGGGATTATCTGACCTTTGTTTTTTGAAGATATTAACTTCTCTTTCCTGGGTCTTTCAAATGCCCCAAAGAAGTTAAATCCAGATGGAAAACTAGGTTTTGATGTAAAATCTGGTTTTTAAAAATGTGTCTCCTTACTTTTTTAAAATGAACACAAGTGGGGCTGGAGCGATAGCACAGCGGGTAGGGCGTCTGTCTTGCATGTCTGTCTTGCATGCGGCTGACCCAGGTTCGATTCCCAGCATCCCATATGGTCCCCTGAGCACTGCCAGGAGTGACTCCTGAGTGCAAAGCCAGGAGTAACCCTTGAGCATCGCCAGGTGTGACCCCAAAATAAAATAAAATAAAATGAACACAAGAGGGTTCGCTGTGTAGAGGTCAAATACCCCCATCCAGTGGTTAAATCCCCCACAGTGAGTCAAGAGTGCGAGAGGGCAGCAGGGTGGAGGCAGAGGCTGGTGCTTCTTGGGGCGGGCACTGCAGCAGGGGTGAGGGGAGAAGTCACTGCACTCACAAACTCCCATGTCGCTGCAGCAGTCGAAGGTGCCTGTCTGCCAGTCACTGGACATGGGGGCGCTCATGCCATAGCCCGGCTGAGTGACGATTGGGTTCATGTTTCAGTTCAAGTTCAAAACGGCACTTCCTGTGAAAACAAAGCCCAAATAGTGAATGCTGTCTTCTAAGGAGAAGGTTGGGACGTGTCGAAAAGGCATTTCATTAACCCAACATGACACTGACACCCAAGGGCAGTAGACCCAAGGGCCAGGAGATTGGTCCATAGATGGCAGCCTGCCTCGTGAGCTGGGGGAGAAGGCAGCTGGGATAGAGAAGGGATCACTGAGACAGTGATGGTTGGAGGGATCTCTCGGGATGGAAGATGTGTGCTGAAAGTAGATAAAGGACCAAACGTGATGGCCTCTCAGTATCTGTATTGCAAACCATAATGCCCCAAAGTAGAGAGAGAGTATGGGGGAAATTGTCTGCCATGGAGGCAGAGGGAGGATTGGAAAGGGGGGGTATACTGGGGACATTGGTGGTGGAGAATGTGCACTGGTGGAGCACCCCTGAACATCGCCAGTATTACTTCCTGAGTGTAGAAACAACAGTAGTCACCCCCCAGCATCACCAGGTATGCCCCAAGTCCCCACCCCCCAAAAAAAAAAAACACATATGGCAGTAACTGGTGGAGACTTTTTTTTTTTTTTTGGTTTTTGGTTTTTGGGTCACACCCGGCAATGCACAGGAGCTACTCCTGGCTCATGCACTCAGGAATTATTCCTGGAAGTGCTCAGGGGACCATATGGAATGCTGGGAATCGAACCGGGGTCAGCCGCGTGCAAGGCAAACACCCTACCCACTGTGCTATTGCTCCAGCCCCCTGGAGACATTTTTGATGGTTACATTTGGAGTGAAGTGCTACTGATATCTGGTAGATAAGCCTGGATATGCAAAAATCAACCTCCACTGCCATAGTAGGAAGTGGTGCTGTCTGCAAGATGTTTAGTACAGCTAGTGGAGCTTATAGCTCTGACCAGAGTACTGGGCTAAGTGAGGGTGAGTCAGTTATTGTCTCACAGACCCTACGTGTGCTTTCTTGGTGCTGCGTGTCCATGCAAAGGGAGGAGTCCTATTAAGGATCACTCCAGGGACTTCGACTACTCCAAGCTCTACCTCTGCCTACAAAGGTGGCAGCTGTGTTTTGCGGAGGTCATCCATGAGGCAGCGAGGGAGCATTAGGAAACGAGGGCAGATCAGGCCAGCAAAAGACACAGCCAGCTAACTGCCATGGCTTTAGTCCCTCATCAGATTGGGGGAATATTTGCCCCTCTTGACAGAGAAAGAATAACTGTGGGCAGTAGCAGAGGGATGTGAGGAGAAAAGATGGCAGCTCTGAGAGAGGAACACTCAGCATCCGCCCAAGCTCTCCTGTGGAAAGGTACCAAAGGCCCGCAAGGCTCCTATCATTAGGGATGGGCAAACTCCACATCCTTGGAAAAAGACTATTGAATGTTCCGGAATGAATCAGCCAGAGAGGTGAAATCTGTGCTTGTAACAGCCGGCAGGTTGCTCAGCCTCCTGAGTGAATGAATCATCAGTACACAAAGGCCTGGCACATATCCCAGTGACCGCTGGCACCTAGATTTTGCTCAGTTACCCCAAAAGACGGGGGGTGGGGAGGCGCAGGGGTGTAGTGATGAATATTTGCTGGTCCTGGTGGGTATGTTCCCAGGTGGATAGCAGCATTGCCCCACCAGGACTAAGAGGGCCAAGTGACTAAGGTCGTGCTCCAGGAAGTAACGCTCAGACTGGGCTATCTCCTCTTAGCTGTTGAGGAAGCCCTGCAGGTGACTAAGGCCCAGGATTAAGAAGCTGCTGCCGGAAGCTATATCTGGGAAGTTTCTGGAAAGAAGCCAGGGTGGGAGAAGCTGCTCCTGCTGGCGTCTCTGTGTGGGCAGCTGTGGACTCCTGAGATGTGAGGAGCTGGAACCCTGATGGTCGGTGACGGCTGGTGCTCGGCTGGTGCTCAGACACCATCCCCGAGAAGTCGAGGCCGGCCATTCCAGCCATCGCTTTTACATTTACATTTCATTTTTTACATTTTTACATTTTGACGTTTACATGTAAATACATGGCTGGTCAAAAGTGTTTCCTGAATTTGCGTTTTTGACAGTGGTCAGCAGGAATTTTTTTTCCATAACAGAGAAGTCCCGTGGCCCTTCTTTGATTAAGAAAGCAAAAAGGGACTTGGCTCAGAAAAAACACTGAATGTGTAGGGCGGTCTAAGTAACCCTTGCTTGCCCAGGCAGTGCAGGTCTCTGTGAGGCTTGGGTCCCAGCAATAATCGGAGGCCAGAGGGTCAGGCCCTAAGGATGCTGAGGGCAATGCATGCAGGGCTGAGGATCAAACACAGGGGCTGGCTCATGCTGGGCACGTGTGTACCACATGGGCCCTAGCACGACACAGGCTCGTTGATTACCTGAAGCTTGAAGGTGTTTGAGAAAACATTCTGACCTCCTCCCGGACGCCCTTTACTCTCAAGGCAAGAGAAAAGTCTTTCTACATCAGAATTTCAGCGCAGAGAATGAAAAAAACCTTGTGATCTCTTCTCCCTGTAGTACTACTTCCCGTGCTGGCTATTTCTTTGGGTCCTTGTGTTCTTGTGAAGATTCTCATATATATGTAAAAACTGGACAAAATGTATATGCTTCCCCCCACCCTTGTGTTAATTTGTCTTTGCTGTTTCCTTTTCAGAGACAACCGGAAACTCAAGAGGGTGGGCGAAACTTCCTCTCTTACACACTCCATACTGTTGTGTTTCAGTTATTTTCAGGGTTGTTCCTTCCCCAACATGTGGCAATATCGGGTCACTGCACAGGGGTAGGGATTCACTGTTGGCTTCTAGCGGAGGCACATCTCACCTTTCCTCACTCCTCCCCCGACTTCCCCCTCGCTCAAATAATACAAGAAATCCAATGTCAAGGCTGAGAACCCCGGTGCATACTCCCATTTGTGTATAAGATCTAAGACATTCTAGCAGTACTCCTACATAAAAAAAAAAATACATCAGAAGATAAAAAGTGAAAAGTAAACAGACGGAGGGAAAATAAAGCACTGAGCAACTTTAGCCCATGCTTCGTTTCCCAGACTGTGCTGATGTAGACTTTCTACCAGGCAAAGCTAATAGGGATCATAAATATTTAGGGGGTTGGCCATGTCCATAAAATAAAAAATTAATATGAGTGATCAAAGCCCTTGATGGCTTCTCTGCATCAATAGAACTTACTTCCCGGCATAGGGTCACAACATAATTTTTGTTTTGTTTGTTGTTTGTTTTGCTTGTGGGGGGGCACACCTGGCAGTGCTAAAGGGTTACTTCTTGGTCTACACTCAGGAATTACTCCTGGCGGTGCGCAGGGATGTTGGGGGACCAACCCGGGTCAGCCCTGTGCCAGCAAAGCGCCCTAGAGGCTATACTATTGCTCCATCCCCCGAAGCTTAATTCTTAACTTGTATCTCCAAAACCATCTAGGAGACAATAAAGCCATCCCAGCAATGTACTTGCCTCGTAGATAATCTCAACTGATTCAAGATTGAAAAGAGAAACCCATGCCAATTCTCCATGCCAATATTTCATCAGATGGACTGCTATAAGGCTGAACCTTGGTAAGAACCTGAGTAGATTCTCAATTTGGGTTGCATAGTGCGTGTAAGAAAAAGTCCACAGGAGGAAAGGCATCTGAGGCCAATATATTGTTGTGAATATTAAAGAACACAGCCAGGTCACATGCCTGCATAGATGGCTATCTCGGGTGAGGGAGGGGCTAGTGACCAGCCTGATCCAACATGCAGATAAGTTAAAAAGTAGAACTGGGAAGAAGCATGTGTTTTCTTCAGAAACCAGTTCTGTGATTTCTTTAGCAAAGAGTCAACGGTGAACTTGAGAAAAAATTAGCCAATTTATGAAGAAAATGAGATTTAAGGAGTCCACTTCAAGCAGACTGTTTTGCCAAACAGTGCATCTGGGCATGCACTAATAAATTGCATGAGACCGTAGGACTGATCAAAGACTCAGAGTTCTACATCAGAAAACCTGGAAAAGTTTGCTATTAAGTCTTCTCAAAACCCACCCTCCGTGATAACGAAGGATGAAGCAGTACACTTCAGAGTCTAGTTATACGTAAAACTGCTTCCTCATTACAGCAACAAAGATAAAGAGTTTGGATATATAACCCAGGAAAAGATAAGCTGACTTTTTAAAATGCCAACTACGTGACTTTACTCTCACTTTGATCCACTGTCTTGGGAGAAGCCAGTACCCTTCAAGATGGGCATTTTCAAAGCTTCCTGGGTGGTTTAAGGTGCAGGAAGGGTTGAGACTCACTGCATTACAGGAAACCTATCCACCATGGTAATTTGAATAGCCAAACAGTGGAATTTAAGTCTTATGCCAAGGATAAAACACACATTTCCTTCTATTTTCAAATTTCCCCTATCATACTTTATTTCTTTTTATATATATGAGATAGGTGGATAGAGGGAGATTGAACCACACCTGACAGTGCTCAGGAATAACTCCTGACTCTGGCTCAGGGATTGCTTCTGGTGAACTCAGGAAACCATGTATTGCCAGGGATCAAACCTAAATTGACTGTTTGCAAGGCAAGTGCCCTACCTGCTGTACTATCTCTCCAAACTTGCTGTTATGGCATCTTTGATGTATATCCATCCATTTGTTATGTGGCATCCTATTTTTTTTTTTTTACTTATTTTGGTTTTGGTGCCATACCTGGCTATTCTCAGGGTTTACCCCTGGCTTTACACTTAGGGATGACTCCTGGTGGTGCTCAGGAAACTATGTGGGATGCTGGGGATCAAATCCTGGCTGACTGCATGCAAGGCAGACACCCTACCCTCTATACTCATTCTCTGGCTCCTAAATGTCCTTTCCTTTTTTCTAGCAATAAAAAAGCAATAATTTTTTTTTTTTTTTTTTTGCATTTTGGGTCACACCTGGTGATGCACAGGGCCTACTCCTGACTCACGCACTCAGGAATTACTCCTGGTGGTACTCGGGGGACCATATGGAATGCTGGGAATCAAACCCAGGTCAGTCGCGTGCAAGGCAAACGCCCTTTCCGCTGT